ACCTATTTTTAAACTCAAGATGTGTTTTTGAGTTGTCATGTTGGAAAAGGGCCTTTAGGCCTGATCTTCACAAAAGGCATAATGCAATTCTACGTTCTATATTGTGTATACTCTATACTTTATGTACGTAACTGCTGCATATACTGTAAGTGAATTTTCCTACAAAAGTGACTTTTTAGGACATGTGAATTATCTGAAATAATTATTTCTGCAAAAATAACCTTGCTGCAAAATTGCAAACGTTTTTTTTATACATGATGAACTAAGGTATATTAATATTTTGTGGAAATAATGGACGAGGTGATACCTTTTGGTTACATGTTTTATAAAGGTCTAATGATTACTGTGGTTGGATCTCTGTGACAAATTCCTTATACTCAGGATGGATTTATAGTGAATGCTTCACATAGAATTCAGATCACTCAGGTAAGGACACAGCCTGACATCTGTCACAGTTTTGCAAAACAGTCCTATCATCTCTGCTCTCGCTTTGTCACCGATGCTTGATGGCCATAATTGTTTCCAGTGGCAGATGTTTCTCCGCTCAGATGTCACCTTCGATGAACAGTTTCCTTAAGAACAATTCAGAGACACAGCCTAATTATGACAGTCCTGCTGAACAGGCAGCTGCTGTCAGACACCCCTCAAACTCAAGGACTCTTGCTTTCTGTGGTTTGAAGATAGAATGTCTCAATGCAGAATGCCTAAAGCCTGGAAGTTTTTCAAATGCGTGGATTAAAAAAAGAGGAGAATGGGAGCTTAATCGCCATGAACAAGGCACTGGAACATAAAAACTACAAATGGCGAATTGATATTATTTTAGTTGAGAAATATAATAAGTAGTGTTGCACTTAACTAAAAATTTACTAAAGTATATTTGCGTAAGTCATTACACTGAGGACAATATGTGTATCTCTTTACAAATATTAGGATGATTTAAAAACAATATCACTTAGTCAGCATTTTAGAAAGCATTCAAATTTGTCCTTACACTTCCGCAAGTACAACCATGGTGTCTGAATACTTCACAAAAAATATTTTTTCCATAGATTAACTCCACATTCTCATGGCTCTATTAAAGTGCTGTTCTTTACAGATTATAATATAGCAAAACTGTGCTGGCTCCCACCCCACCCTCCACTATCCTGTGATTTTTAGACGACAGGAGAGAAAAAAAAAGATGATAATATTTCATCATTGCAAGCAGGCTCTCCTTCCTCAATGCCTCAATGACTGACGCAATTAAGAAAGCCGTCACTCACAGGGAGACTGCTGCCTTGGAAGAGACACTAGTGCCTTCTGTCATGTGTGCTTCCTGTTTGCACATTTCCACCAAAGGTCAAGTTAGAATCAGCTTGTTTGTCAGGCAAATCAATTGCGAGGACCCAGAACATAGTAAGTTATGTTGCAGGTCTTCTGTTAGTATGCATGTGCTTCTGAGACCCATCAATGTTGGCCTGCACTGAAGGGAAATCTTTTTAACTACCTCAGATAATCAATACCTGGAGTCTATTATTCCACCACTGATGCATATTGGGAATGATTGGATGAGCAATCATCATGTGACTAAGAAAAATAGTGTCTAATTCAAGGTCAATAGGCTGCTGCTTCTTCTTTTTCAGCATTATGTTCTTGTGTGTTAGCAAAAACAAACATGACGCCTTAGACACTATAATATTCATTTGTAATTCAAACACCTTGGCCTTTTGAGTGATTGAAAGAAGGAGCTAATGAGATTAGAAACAAACCTTGTTTATTCCTATAGTGCATTGAAAAACACAGGTCATTCTTGTGCTCTTAATTTTGTGTTCTCTTAGGTGATCTAAGGTACTAGTAATTATGTAGCAATCTATTTATTACTCTTTTTAAATACCAAATGTGTACAGTATATGCTATGGTGCATTTATATGCTGATCCTAAAATGTCACAGAACATGTTGTGCACAAAAAGACACATTAACTAGTGGCCACAGTATTCTTGTTATTACCAACTTGGTTTGGACTCTGTCCTATTGGATATGGTACTGTATATGGTATAAAAGTTATGATGTTTTCGATATCTTTAAGACTGAAAATTTAATTTCTGGCAGGTATGATAGTGGATTCACACAGAGCAGGCCACAAAGAAGATTAACCATGGATTGACATCATAGGAACAAGTTTCGGGATGAACATCTGTCATTTTCTTAGTTCACAGCAGCAGAATTCCAGCAAAGATGTGCCATGTTGTAGCAATTACACAACGATGAAAATGGTCAGAGAAACCTCATGTTATTTACATATTGCTCTGTGGTCTGCATTCACCCATTCCAGCAATGAATGGGTGTCTTGCACATATGAAACAAGAAGATGGCAATCTAATTGTGGATAGATGATGGTGCATAGTCTATAATGCAGATCATATTTAGGCTTCCTGTAGTCTCTAATTCAATGTATCAGTGATTATACATTGAAAACAAGATGTTCTTTGTTTAGTGCTCAAGGATAAATGAGGATGTTACCAGTTTTAACAAAATCTAGTTTCAGCAGGTGCCATGTCCTCCTAAGTGTGGTAGAAGAGTATTGGAATTGTATGAGGTACAAACTCATGTCTACTTGTGAAACACACAATTCCACAAGAGGAGAATAAGCTTCAGATTTAGCTTCGCATTCCTGCATTTAACTAGTGGCCTATTTGAAGAATACTGTATCTGGTCTTCAAAATTCCTTTCACAAAGCAGAGAAAGTAAATGAGCCGCACAGAGTTGCCAGTGACTGATAAATCTTTAATATAAAAATTGTACAAGAATTCTGATACAAATTACAAGAGGTATTTGGACAAAATATGAATAAAATTCCATTTACATCCCAAAACCCTTATGCATTTTATGCAAAACCATAGACAGTTATAGTACAGAAAATACAAGAAAAGCAAAGTCAAATTAAAAAGAGGACTTTTTTTCTGTCTCAGACAACTAATGGAAAAAACTTGTTTAGGGTACATACAGTATTCATGAAGCTACCAATGTCACAATTATTAGATCAAAGTTATGCAAGCTTGTGATTGCCCTGATGTGGATGCACGTTTGTGGTGCATTCTGTGACTATTACAACAAGGTATAACAATATTAATTAATATACAGGAGACATGTCGATAACATGGGCATAGAGCATGAAACAAATGAGACTGTTACATTAAAATATCAATATGCAAAATAAAACAAAACATTCACAAAAACAACAAAGTCTTCAAGCTTATTTACTCATGGTAAAACAAATTGTGGTAAAAGTTGAAACACTTCAGTAAACATTTGGGGAACTGCTTATTTGCAACAGATCTGAATGAGTTGGGGTATCAATGCAACTGCCGAACTTGGTTTGGCAACAGCCGAAACTCTATGCAGAAGAGTTTCTTTTTACCACATAAAAATGAAAAAAAAATACTACGCAGTGCACCTCATTTATTTGTTTCAATACAGGCCTTCAAAATAAAAGCAAGTCATTTTGAGACATGAATGTGAGTTTGTAAAAAAAAACACACAAGCAATTTCAAATAGGAGCAAGATACACAAAATAATTTTGCCTCAGCAGACAACCCCCAACCTTCTCTTTTATTACTTTGTTTGAAGATGCAGTATGATGCTTGAGATATAAAAAAAGAGAACGATCTACATACAATACTCCACCATATACAGGATTTAATGCTCAATGTTGCTCTGCAGTTAAACAGAATGGCCAGGGAATGTTTCTTTCATTAATGGGTCATTCAACTTTTTCTTTCCTACTCCTATCAATGCATTATTGTCATGTTTGGTAGTCATCTTTCTCAGTTGTTGTGCTCTGTACCCAGGAGTTGGCAGAGGCCTCATTAAATATTAAAATATCACTCAGCTTCTCTCTGCAATGTTTCTAAAAGCCATACACGTCACCTTGTGCTCATCAAGTCTCTGCCAAAGACATAATACTTCTATCGCATTCTGCTTTGAGGTGTGTGCAAGTGCCTTTATCTAGGACTCATGAAATTTCCTTTTCTTTCTTAGAGTAGGCAAGTGATCCAATCTGATCACTTACACTTACAATGTCTCACACTGTCAAGTGACTGCTGTAACACACCAACTCCAATTTGAATACCTGTATTCATTTTTTGTCTGTTCTGATGTTTTTTTTTAATTTTGTTTCGACTCCTTATCACATCTACATTCATAGAAATCTTGCTGTTGTTCTGGTGGGTTCTACAGAGTATTGTGGTACACTCAAAGACAAATAGTTGTTCAGCAGTCAAGGAAGGTGCAAGACACTAAAAAATCCTACAGTATGTTATGCATTTTGTGTCCTTCAGTAATATGGATTTTTAAATAGACAAACAGAAAATCTTGGTTCCACTCTTTTCATAATGCTTACTTTGTTGCTTTTCCCACATAAATCCACTGAATCAGTTCAAATTACCAGTTTTATATGAAGCATAAAGTTAAGACTTTGAAACCACAGGACATATGACACCGACAAAGACTATTAAGAAAATGTAAATTAAGCAAAATTTACTTTAAAAAAATAACAGAGTATTTGCTTAATACAGCTGGCAGATGGTGGCGCCATTTTGTGGGTAAACTCTGGGTTCTAAAAATTGCATAGTGAGTATGATTTTATGAATACCTTTAAGAATTGCCACTCCTAAACCCTACAAATGCAGCGTTGTTCCCCACTACTGTCAATGAAATAACTTTGAAGCGAGTCTTGAAGACAGGGTGGCTGTGGAGACACTAACAGCTGCCATTCATAACCTGGTCAGAGCCCAAATAAAACTGCTTCCAACCATGTCTCCTAAACCCACACTCATTTTAACAATTCTCCCTCCAAATTCTTTGAGTTCTACACTGCTATCTGTAGCCCTAATGAGACAGTTATTTGTTCAGAACTTGGTCCCAACTTCTTAACATCTTAAGAACTGTTTTTAGTCCTGTAAGAGAAAAACCTAAGCATGAAAAGCACCTATACCGAAAATGAAATAATTCTGTGAGTCACTGAAAATAACAAAACATTTATTTTTAATATTCCAGTAAAAAAAAACACAACAAAAAAATCCACTCAACCCTTCCCGTCCATGTAGTGCTACGACTTTCGAAAGCTCTGAAGTCCTTTTAACTTCAGTTAGTCATTTAAAAACAAAAGAAAAAAAAAACACCACTGTCAAATAATACACACCGACAGGTTCCACTTGTATCATTTAGACCTCCCTTCCATACACCCTGCAATCCCATTATTCCTTTTGAAATAGCTCAGTGAACAAGAAGGTGCCACTTGTTTGCTTTCCCTGTCTGATTTTGCCTCGGAAGGGCCTTTACTCCTCTTCTCAAAGGTTACATAGTCTTCCTGGTCCAGTCAGGACAATGGTCAGCCAGGATGTCTGGTAAGGGTTTTCACAGAGAGAGAGAGAGAAGTATCTCTCGGCTATAGAGTAAGACTCTTTGCAGTCTTACCGCATTGCGAGAAAGCAAGGCCCTCAGCGTGCCTCTGGGGAAAGACTGTGTTTCTGTACTCAATTTTCTCTTCACCTGGGATAAGCAGGCAATTACACATCCTTTTATACTTGATGGCCGTGTAGTGAACTTAAGTGTACACTATTAGTCTCTGTCCCTGTAGGACTCGCATGGTAAGTAGAAGCGGAGGGAGAGAGCAAAAGAGAGAGTGTGCAGCCTGTGAGGCAAGGAGGTGGGGGGGGGAGAAGGGGGAGGGGGGTGAGGGTGCTTGCTGTTAGTGTCACAGTCTTGTCAGCAACATTCACATCTTTGAAGGTAATAAAGTGACAAGTGAGTTATTAGAAAGATCAGTGGTAAAATTGAACTGGTGCCTCGAGGTGCCGTGTAACAGCAATTTTAATGATACTTCCTGTTGCAGGAATTCATCTGCTACCACCCCCCTACCACCACCACGTCCCAGTCCTCCCCCCCCCCAACCTTCACCCTCTTGTGTTAATTCAGTTTTTTTTCTTGGAAAAAAAAGAGAAAGAAAGCACCAGAAGCATCTATTAAAGCGCCTGCCAAACAACAGCAATATAAGAGAACAGGAAGAAAAATAACAAAGAAGCTTTTTAATGCAGAGCTGCAAAAGTACAGACCCTCGATGGACAGTGATGAGGAATGTCTTATTTTTAATCACCTGTATTATTTGTACCACCCTTTTCCCATAGAGGGAACTGCCTATTTAAAGCAAGCCTGGTGAAACAATGAGTAAAAAAATATTCTGAACTTCCAATGCTCATGCCAGGATATGAATTTGCACATTTGTGAGTCCTGGTCCTTATGACTTCTGTGTCTCCCGGTTTTTAGTTATTTAAATAAACGTTTAACTCAATTAACAATTTCAGCTTTCGAATTGTTTTTCAGAGCTGTAGACAATGAAACAACAGGTAATTAAGCAACTTATTAGTTCAATTAAGGGTTCAATTACATAACAGAGAGCTCAGTTAGATCCTGAAACAAAAGCACCAGGATCAGGATTTAGTATCACCGATTTACATGTTGTCTGGGTTGCTACCAGCACTTTGAGAACGAAGGACATTAGTGTGCGAACTACAAAACTCACTCCATGTTTAACCTGAAAAAATCTAAATGCATTTCCTTTTCATGGCTGTATATTATGTGCCATTTTTCCTGCTAGGCTGAAAACTGATGGTACAGTGGAATGCGATAATTTGATAACTGGCAGAATCTTTTGTCAGAATCCCTTGGGCAGGGGGGGGTTTGGCAAGCTACAGAACCAATGAAGGAGAGCCTGGACTAAGTGTGAAGCACACAAATTCAGTAGAGTCTAAAAAGAGGGAAATGGAGATCAAAATCCCTGATGGGTTAATTTTTATGTGACGGGAAACGTCACAGGTATTCAGAATTTTTTAATTTTAAAATGTGTTGCTCAGGTTCAGATTTGCTACCTAGCAGTTCTACTGATTTTTCTTCTACTGTAGAGGTAGAAGTTTGGGACAATGTGGCTTTTCCACTGACACTGTATATTAGCACAAGATGTAGGTATCATACATCCTTTTAAGACAAATATTCAATGTGAATGATTACATTTTGCATTCCTTACAACATAAACATGGAATTTCATGAGAAGATACTATGATAAAGTATGTACAATCTTATTTTTCTAATACTTAGTCACTTACATTAGTACTAGTTAATTATAACTAGGGTTAATTATAAACAGGGCAAGGGTGCTTTCAGTTTTATTCCAGATACTGTAATCAAATGAATATTTCTTAAATCACAATGTCCTTTGAGAAAAATACACTATATTTTTTTAGTTCTCAAGATGTGTTGTCTTGGGCAAAAGTACATTTCAGTTAAAATAAGAAAGCTACAAATGTGCATTCAATGTATTTACACCTATGAATGCATTATAAATGTAACTGCAATTTAAAATTCCTGGGGTGTAATTAGAGCATCACTCTTCAGATTTCAGATTTGTGTGCACTTTATTTCAGTACAAACTATAAATTAAATATAAAACATGCATATTAATTGATTTATAGCTAGCAAGTGGAGTCTTTGTTAATTAGACTTTATATGGTAACATTCTCCAAATATAGATAATGTGGTCATCATAAATAAAAAAAGCTAATTGAGTGTTTTTCAGATTTATACCCACTTGTAAATCAACAGATTTCTTTATCTTTATTCAGGAATTACTCTAACCTGTCAATTATCATTTTAAAAAATGTTCAGCCTAATGGAGTGTGATTGTTTATAGGCTTCTTCCTTTCTGACAGACAGATGCCTTTATTATTAAGAGCAATTTGCTTTACTCAACCTGATTCTCTGTTAATCTGATACTGTGTAGCATAGCCTGAGCTGTTTAATGTAGTAACTTCCAAATTAGATCTTGCCAAAGTAGAAGGTGTCTGTAACAATGTCATATGAGATACACTTGGCCTTTGAGCAAATACAGATAGACAGGCTGTAATCTGTTTAACCACAGATATGACTGCGACGGAAACAAAAAGCACATTCTATGATCTTTCTAAGAAATTGCGTTGTTTTTTTTGTTGTAATCGGCAGTATGATCGAATTTACAAAGCTGATTTACATTGATTTAGATATCTGGTTATTTTATATTGGATTGTAGCCGTGTCACATCACCCACATAGAGTGGGCAAAGTGCTCCCTCAGTGACTAACTTGAACATAGTAGACATCTCTCTACATCCCACCATAAATTGATAATTGCGTCAGTGCTCATTTAACGGGGAAAAAAATAAACTGACATCAGTGTGACAGGATGTCACAGAAGAACTAGGCTGTGACATTGTCTTTGGCCATTTTTCTGTCTTTAAATAGTGATCTAAGAAACGTAAAGCTTATTTTGTTACACACAAATGGCACTATAAACAATTTTTCCACATACTGTACGTGTAGTAACCAGAAATCTCCTGAAAGCCCCTTGTTTTGTACACATATTTTTGCAAGTCTTATAGTTGCCCTTGACTTTAACAAATTTCTGTATGGATACATACCAGAGCCAAAAGCTCTGAAGGTCACTGCATGAACAGAGTATTCATTTGCTGTAAAGCAAAGCTTTGTTGTTGCAATTGCTTCTGAAAGCACTGCTTAATTTGTAGTTATTGAACTGAATGCTCTGCTACACTGAAAAATATTTTTGCCTGAAATAATAAATACTGCCAAAGGTTACAAACTCTAAAAAAGCAAAAAGAAGCTCTCTCACTCAATCCTATTTTCATTTGCAAGATCTGTTCCCTTTAAGAGGTTGCTCAATAATATGGAACATCATTTTTTGTTGTTCTACAGAGCACAGTTTGTAGTGAAGCAACAGATCTGAAAATCAAATTGAATGTGACCAGCAGGAAAACACAGCAAAAGATTAAGACTTGAGAACAGTAAAATAATCAGTAAGACCAGAGTGCTACCCTATAAGGAGTATATGAAAAACATACTGTCACAGTAAAATGTACAATGCAGTTGTTTTTTTGTTGCTTTTGCAGAACACTTCTTCAGTTTGCCATTCATTTCTCAGAAAAGGTGAAAATCAGGACCTCATGTTGGTTAACCTCACAAAACCCATCTACTCAGCTTCAGAGCTAATGAATGCTATGTTTCGTTACACTCGTGTGTGTTAATTGTCCTTTTTTTCTTTATAGACAAACAGGTAAACAAAAGAGAAACAATTCATAATACTTTTCATTTGCCTCCATCTGGGAGGCAGAGTATTATTGTTAAACTGGAAAAGAAACACATTTAACTTTAACTACGAGTAATCTCACTAAATATGTTTGGGAATAATGAATACTGGACTGGATATTCTGGGTAAACCTCGGCATTCCACTACAGTTTGAATCTAAATCATTCGTGCAAATCTGGCACATTTATGCAATGGTATAGTAATTAATTCTTGGCACTGTAGCAGTCAGCGACCTACAACACCACTGAAACTGTCAATTATCTGTTGTTTTTTTTTTCTAGTCTCTCCATTATTGGAAGGATGATGGTTAAAAAAGATGGCATGGATAATATTACACATCCCCTCGTAGTACTGCAAAGTGCATGGCTGGATTTATGTCCTAATACTAGAGAAGAAATGAACAAAAAAAAAACATTTTTTTTAAAAAGAGCGAAAAAAAAATCTGTTGAGGAGCCAAAAGCATGCCGGCACCTTCTATATCTAGCAGGTAGATAAAACAAGTTTTGTGTGGTTTTCTTTCAGTTTAAAATGTGCATTAAAGCTAACATAAATGAATCAAACTAGCCAGATGCTACCTCTTCCTTGCCTATCTAATAGCTGGAAGTACTGTAAAATAAAACAGAAAACTAACAACCATCAATACAATTGTTTTACATCATAAGCCTCTCAGGACATATTATTTACAAATGAAGCTATCATGCTGTGGTGAAGGTTCTTTTTAAAAGCTATTAGTACACAAAGACATCAAAGAAGGTATTTTTTATTATTATCATTTCTGCAGGCAACAGTCACAAACAGAGTTGAAATAGTCTCTTTGGAGATGGACAAAAAGCAAAAAGAGTCAGTCTGGATTGGGGGGTCAGGGTGGGGAAAGGGAAGAGAGTGTTACTTTGCTCCGAAGAGTCTTGTTCCATGCTTCCAAAGAAGAAGAAAAATTAACAAAGCTAAAGTGCTTTGCTGTTTTTGTTTCTGTGTTTCACTTAATATATATTTATATATATATAATTATTTAAAAAGAAAAGATGAAAAAAATGGAATATGGCAGTTTTAAAAGAAGCCAACCTTGCAAGTGGATGGCGTCTTCTCTAAAGTTATGGTCCAGGGCTGCAGAACTGGGGTACGCTGAAAGGAGATATGTGGTGTGTGGGGCCTGAAGGGAAGGAAGGAGGGGCTTGCTAATCAACCATGGTTACAAAGGGCACATTTTTGTGGAGATTAGGGTTCTGGCTATGCCTGTTACGGCTCCGCACAGAGGAGAACATCATGTTGCAGCCGGGCACCTTGCACTTGTGCATCTCGCGCAGATGGACGGTCTTGTAGTGCACCCGCAGTGTCCCTTTGTTGCTGTACATTTTGTGGCAGATATTGCACAGGATGCCCCCGTTGCTGCTCCCAGAGCCTGAGTGTAGCACAGGAGAAAAGGAGGAGGAGAGTTCATTAAGTACTCCCTCCCCCAGCCCTCCGCCACTGCTGCCCCCCACCATGGCCTGGCCGAGCCCCACAGCCTTCTGGGAACACTCCTCCCCATCGCTGGCGCCATCGATGTCATCCAAGAGGATGCCCTCGTCGCTGCCCTCGTCGGACTCCCGCGAGGAGTGGATGCTGCTGCTGGACTGGATACTGGAGGTGGTGCTCAGGTCCAGCACCATGTAATCATCAGGAGGAACCCGGCAGTACCCGTTGGTATGGGAGTACTCCGTGCCCGCTGGCGAGCTGGTATCATCCCGGCCGCCCCCTCCTCCTCCGACATCCAGCCCCAGGGGGTGTCCCCCATATATCTTGGCCAGAAACTCATCACGCAGTTCCTTAGGCAGTGGCGCGTGGTGAGGCTCCAGGCCTATGTCGTCCAGCTCTTTGGTCAGGAGTTTCCGGTGTAGGTTGATGTTAGCACTGTGCCTGTTGAAGGAGAACAGAAAAGTACTGTTTAGTCTCATCCCTTTAATTATCACACACAAGGATTCTGATTTATTATAGATTTTGACTCACAGCCAATTTTTGTGCTACTCACTAATTATTTTTTTCTATTGCAGGAAGTCTTCAAGTTCCAGTAACAAAGAATTATGTTTAGAGCTCACACCATTCTTTTTGCAAGATCTCTTAATCTCAATGTCTTGCAATAAGCTGGAAAACAAAGCTGTCAAATACTCATATGATCTAATACAATACATGTGAAAAGGCTAATGTACAGTATACACTGCACTAATTCTTTATATATATCATGGCTATTTGTGATGACCAATTAATGAACTCTTAAATTGCTATTTTTCATTTCGAATTTATTTTTAAACAAGATCACGTTAACATCAAGGAGTTATCTGACATTTACTGAAACTAATTATGTTTTAAAACTGGTACATAAAATACCCCTTTTCTTTTTCAGTCATGTATTTGTACAGTGCTTTTCAGCTGCTCTAAACTACCTATCTGGCACTGCCTGTGAGTCTGATGGTGTATCTTCACATATTCATATCTATTTTTGATATCTATGATATTACATATCATGTATTTTTTTCTACATATTTGCATGCATAGAAATAAATATGGTAAATACAACTTTGGCATATTAGGCTAGACTAGGCCTAGTTGATTCCAACTAAAAAAGTAAAGAGGAACTCTAACAATGCTTGTAATCAATAGAATCTGTCTTGACTGTTTCTAACTGAGATATTCGGTTTGTTAAGTGCTCCAACGTGATGGAAATTCCTGCATGTCTATGTACCAACGCATTTTTTAAAGAATGATTCACCCCTCATGATACTAATGTAAATAAAAAAGTGGAAAGATCAATAATTCCCTCTTCACACAGTCAAACATTTAATCAACAATGTGGTAAGTATGACATTTGATCAAATACTCGCATTGACAAAAATATGGCAATTTGAACATCTGACTTCCACAGGGATATTTTTCGGTTCTTTCTAAACAAAATAAAACCTCAACAACATAAGTTATCTGAACTTCATGAATCAATGTGACAGGCCAAATAATGGATAAACTAAATTGCTCACCCTTCATACTGTAAACATTAAGTCAGATAGTCTGAGCCCTGAAGTCTTATATAGAAGGTTGCTGTTGAACTGCAGCTGTACACACCTAACCTTTACTATGAACTGCAACATTTTGGTAGGCTTGTACACAGACAGACTAATAAAGGACTTCAGCTTGAAAATCTATATAAAAGTGCAATTACTTGTCCCTGATCCCAAAACTCTTCTGTCTGCCCCACTTTGTAAACCAAACTGCCACACTTTACTACATCTGTAAAAATGTGTGAGAGTGAAACTCAACACTGAAGCATTTGCAAGCTGCTTTTTAGTTAAGCGATACTGCAAAGTGAACATCCTGCCACCATGTTTACTGCTGTCAGCAAATCTGGTGCCCTGCTGAAATTCAATTGTATTGACTTTTACTCAATTAAATACTCTTCCATATTGAATGGGAGTTTATCAATTGATTTGAGCTGTAGTAATATGATAATCGGGGGGAACTGGATAGTGTATTAGCATTGGATCTGACAGGATTATCACATTTGCTTACTTTGGAAGACAGTTCACTTGAGGTACATAAATGTATCATTCATATACCCTTCATTTATTCAGTTGATTGTGTCAGTCTCACATAACAGAACAACACATGCAGGATATTATGCTGTTTTTTTTTTTCAGGATAGCACTTTTACAGTGTCTATACATATAAAGCATACATGAACTGTATATACTGTACAACTGTGTATGCATATACAGATGAAACAGATGTATCACAAATACACTGCCATGCACAAAATGGATAACTTACAGACAACTTTTGAATTTTTAGACAGGATAGTTTTTGCAGTTTCTTTATACACCACAACAAACTGACAATCACCAAAGACATAAAATGCTATACAATACAAAACAATTGTTCTGCATGGAATGTGTAATAATGACAGAATGTGTATTACAGAACTGAAATAATTTCTTTTGCATCTGTGCTACACATTCTACAGTATGTTACTGTTACACATTCTTTTCTGTCAGGGACACAGTGGAATTCAGAGGACAGGTGTAAAGAACAGGTATGTTTTCCAGTTTGAGCAAAGGATTGTATATGTTTAGGACAATTTGTTCAGTAAAAATCCAATTTTCATTTTAAAGAAAATTAATTTATCTTTTTAAACTAACTTAAATAAGATACAGGTGGCAATCAGAACTATTTGTAAGTTGCTAGAACTACATATACAAAATAATTAGTGATTTGCAAAAATAATAGGGAATGTTTTTTCTCTGGGATATTTTCAGAGGATGATCATGAAGACAACGCTCAGGACTGTTGCTTAAGAGAGGTCACAGAGTTCAATGATATTGAGTACTAAGCCATCTATGAAAACAAAAATAAAAATCCATTGCTTTAACATTGGTGTCATGCAAGGTAATTGTGAAACTTCTATACGTCATCCCTTAAGAGACCAATCAATGGATTTCACAATATACAGTAGAGCTTACCAGCAGTGCCATGGTTGCTGCAGTCAAAAAGGGTCCCTTCCTTTAATTATTTAGTTCCCTATCCGACATTGTCCTGCAAGAAGTAAAAATACATTCATTGAAGGGACCCTTTCTGTGAATGAAGGTGCATGGGAGCTGTCCACTAGATTACCATCAACAACATTGAGGTCCACAGGATTTTAGTACTTATGGTTGGATCTGAACACTACATCATTAGCTGTGATATGTTTTCTTTATGTACAGCATGTTTTGAAGGTGGTAGCATGAATTTCCATATTATTTGGCATTCAGTGCTACAGAGTGCTCAAGTCTTTTTTTGAAGGAATGTTTATGAACCATTTTAAATAGTATTATTTAGTGCTTGTGTATATTAACTGAGTACTGAAGGTTGTGGTCCTCGGTGAAAAACTAGGAAGATTTTATACATCAACCTAGAGGATAATCAGAACAGTTCTTTACTTCAAAGCTCCGGTGTGTCTTGCCCTGTAATGCATCTAGACTGTGTAAATTGCTCAGCTGTGGACACAATGATGTTGACTGCACTCCAGTGGGCGGCTCCAGTGAAAAGCTTCACCCTTTCCTGCACAACACCACTCATAAGCTCTAATCTATCCTGTGAAATCAGTTGACTAAATGATGAGCCGCTTCGAAACTTGTATTTCTGTCAGTCCAAAGCTGCACACTCAGGACTTCAAGAAAAAACTCAATAAGCCATTTATTTATGTGTGCATTCCATGCAATATGTACAACACTGTGCACAGACTGTAGATTTTTAAAATTATGGTATCACATTTTTGTACATTACAACACTGTCTTTGATCCCAAATCAAAGCTTTTCTGCTGATTTCCCATGTTACCTGAGTGATAATGAAGAACATTAATGTTACTAATCAGTCTGTTAGTTTGAGGCAAGTTTCTGGTCACCTCTAATAAGCTAGAAACTAGCTTGCCTCCTCTCTTCTGTATTATGCTAACAAGTCTTATAATAGGCAGGGGAAAAGTGGATTCCCTTTGAAAAGGACAAAAAGAAAAGAAACTTCTTCACAAGACAGAGCATGTTAAAGTAATACCATGCTTTTCTAATTGATCACAATACCACAATATACCTAATTCTAAAATGTATGGCATAAAAAAGCACATTACTGTATATCTACAGTATATTAACAAGAAAATGTACAATACAAATGAAATTGAAATGAAGCTGGCAAAAGGGTCTTTCAATTAATTTTCCCAGTTTTTCACTTTTACAGTACAGTAACATCTATTACTTGTTTAGCCATTTAGGAACAATGTCAACCTTGGACATCTCTGTGTCTAAACTTGCTGGTTCACAAGTACATCTGTACTTTTCTTGTAATTTTTCAGGTGAAGCTGCTAAACTGCTGGAAGAGTGTAGACTGTTCTGTAATTGTGGGTTTAGGTTTTCCAAGAAAAAAACATATTGACTTCACTATGATTTATCAAGTGAATACAAGAAGGAGCGCTCAGCACCGGTTTTGTGATTGGGAAGCTAGATCTTTCAGAATGTTAAGAAAAAGTGGGAACTTTCAGGCTTAAAGTATATTAAAAAATTTAATTGAGATGACCAGCATTAGACTTTTTGACATTCTAAGTGTGAATTTTACAGTTCAAGCAGAGACTCTGTAGAAGCAGAGTTCTGCAGATTTTATGGTGTTAAAGAGTTTTTTTCACCAAGGTCACTTTTGTCATTTACAGGTTCATGTTGTTGTGGCTGGACTGTGATGTGATCAGAGGCTAAATCAACGCGTTTTGCAATTATTGCTGTTTTTATACATTAATAGTGCAACTATATGTAAGATCTGACTCCACTTATATATTATGGGAAACATAACATTTGTAATCAATCTACTCATCATTACCTAAACATCATTAAACACATTTTTACTGTAAACATGTTTAACCTTTAATAGTGAAGTAAAGATTTTTTAGAGATAAAAACTGTTGAGTGAGAAGCGTCAGAGAATTCTTAAGATTGCACAAAAAAATCAAAGTACAGTCATTTGTCTGAAGAAGAAAATACATAATAAAGATGTCGATTAAAGGTCCGCTCACAGTGATTTTAAATTAAAGATGCCGACCGTGCAGTCATTTGAATCCCCTCAATATGAGACAAATCGCTCACACCAGTCACGCAGACGGCTCCCTCTCTCCTGAAATTATTCACTTGAAGATAAGCTACCCGCTAAATTCTTGAGGGGTTTAACTAATTTACTGCACAGATACAGCACGTCTGTTGTAATAACAGGTAGGATGTATTGGGGTCGACCATTTATCAGAATTAGACTTTTTTCCCCCCTCTCTCTTCCTGGCAGAGAATTGCTCTGCCTACACCATTCCCATTTTTGAAACCCTCCCCCCCACCTCGCTCTCCCTCCTCCTTCTTTCCCTCCC